CCCCCCCGGCCCCCCAGCTCTGGTGTGTGAGGAGAATGTGTCTTTCTCCTTCTCAGTCAGTGCAGGGCTTTTGTTTGTTTCTTCTTTGCCTCTCACTTGTCTACGGCCCCCCACTGCTAGTTCTGTGGGTCAGCAGCCTCTGACTCATAAAAGGGTCCCCATGCCCACCCCTCTGGTCTAGCCTGAGCCTTCACACCCTTGCGCACATCCTGGCCCAACCCACCCCAGCACAGCATCCAGCCGCCATGCACCCTCCCAGACCCTGCACCCCTATCCTCTGCCCTAGCTCACACTCACCCAAACTCCCCTCTAGACTCCAGATGCCCTCCTGCAGCCCAAGCGCTTGCCCCACGTGCCCGTCTGCACCCACCCTCCATCCTAGACCCTGCAGCGCCTCCCTTACTATCAGACAGTGCAGCTCTTGACCCCTTTCCAAATTCTTGGCATGCGCCTCCCCCCCCAACCATCAAAGAGTATTGCCTGCCCCTGTACTAGGCGCACTTCAGCCATCCACTTCCCGCCATAGCGCCTAGAGTCCCAGGTGGCTTCTGGACAGCAAGGCACAGAAAAGATCATTTCTGGCACGTGACATGAGACTCCTGTTTGTGGCAAGCAAAAGAGCACAGCGCCAAATCTTGCTTTATAAGTAGTCTACTATCTCAGGGTCAATGGCTTCACAGGACACTAGCAAACACAGGACTTATGCAAAATTAAAGCAAATAACCGTCTTTTATTTATGTTCCTAAAGTATTTTGGGTGGAGGCCTGCGCCTTTCAAATAGCTACCCTTTATGCAAATGATTGGGGAGGAACCCATTCAGCACTGCACAGCAAGCACACGCACTATGCACACAGCACCAAGCGCATTGCTGGGAGATGCCCCGCCCATTAGTGTCACAGACTGGTGTCCAGCGTTATGCATCTGATTCCATAATTCGGCACCTCCATAATCATACAGCGTTGCAGTCAACTGTTCACAGAAAGGAAGCCTACTGAGCACGTTTGCAATTGCACACGTACAGCGCCAGGGCCGGGGGAGGGGCACGAACAGGCTTGGCAGCAGCATGGCTGGAAAGGCTCTGTAGCTGTGCTGGAGCCGGACCTCAGCATGAGCTGGCTGTGCCGAAAAGGGAAATGCAGTTTTAGGTGACATCACCAGAGGCCTCGCATGCACGGCTCAGGCGGAGACAGGCTCGCGCTGCTTGGCGTGGGGTAGGCCGCTCCGGTGAACTGTGCAGAGAAAGGCTGTGGGGCAAGAAAAATGAGCCAAGGGATGACGTACAAAGGCTGCACAAATGGGCTGTGTTTAGTGGGAAAAGCCATGCGCACGGCTACAGGACAGGCACAAAGGCCACTATTCGAAAGGCGGCCATACACAAGGCGGAGCAAAGCTGATCTGGCTTGCTGTGGAGGGGGCGCAAACCAGCAGAGACGCTGCAGATTACATCGCGGGACAAACTTCCTAACTAAAACCAGTCAGGCGATGGACCAGCGGCCTCAGGAGTCTGTGCCTGGTCCATGGGCATCGGGGGAAAGCCCAGCTGAGGCAGGCAAGACCCAGCCCTGCTCCTTATGCCCGAGGCCCCGCCCCTGGAGCCAAGCCCCGCCCCCTCCCAGCCAGATCCTGCCTGGCCATGTGGCGAGCTGGGGCTATCGTGATGCCCCTGGCCTAGCCCTCTCCAGTGGCAGGGGAAAGCTGCAGCACCCTCACCCTATCCCCCCAGCGGCCAGGCTGCTGAGCTGGACTGCTTTTCCCCGGGGGGTGGGGCGGGGGGTAGAGCCAGGCGACCCGCGCCACAGTTCCAGCCTGGCAGCCGCCTCAGCCTTAGGCAGTCGGTCATGGAGGTAGTTTCGGGACAACTGTGCCTTCCCTACCGACCATCCATGCCTGCTCTACACTAGGGAGTTGTTCTGAAATAACCCTCCCCCCCTAATTTGACATCATAAGTGGAGTGTCCTTATTATGCACTACCATTATTTCCAGGCGACCCGCGCCACAGTTCCAGCCTGGCAGCCGCCTCAGCCTTAGGCAGTCGGTCATGGAGGTAGTTTCGGGACAACTGTGCCTTCCCTACCGACCATCCATGCCTGCTCTACACTAGGGAGTTGTTCTGAAATAACCCTCCCCCCCTAATTTGACATCATAAGTGGAGTGTCCTTATTATGCACTACCATTATTTCGAAAGCTGTACTCCTGCTTGCCTTGGGGAATAAGCTGATTTTGAAACCGTTATGTCGGGAGTTATTTCGAATTTCGTTATTTCAAATAATTTCCTAATTTAGACATCTCCTGGATGTTCCTTCACTGGTGGGGAGGAGTTCACAAGGAGGCTGGCACCATCTGTTTGGGCTGATTCACTCATGACAGACCTGGCACCTTGGCAGGGGTTAGACGAGCTGGGTCTTGTGGTCCCTCCTAACCCTCTGAGTCGGTGAGTCTATGGCCTGGGGGGTCCTTGAGACTAGCCCCATGCTACACAGGCAGCTAGGGTGGCCAGGTGGCCGGTTTTGAACCAGACAGTCCGATATTTGATATAAAATGTCCGGTATGTTCTAATTAGATACGTTTTATTATTAGCATGAGTATCAGTATGTAGTTGCGAACTGCCTGGCTGGTAGACACGCTCGCACTGCCTGAGCATGTCTACCAGCCAGGCAGTATGCAACTACGCAGTAGAGTGGGAGGTGGGGCACAATTGGTATTGGGAGCCCTCAGCTGATTGCATCTGATGTAAGAGTGACGCCTTGGGGAGGAGGAGAAGCCCTGTCCGTGCTCCTGAGCGCTGATCAAGCATGTTGTGGAGCTGTAGCCAGACTCACTTATGCTTCACTGGCACCATGCGTGGGATGGGCAGCACCCCGCGATCTGTGTGCACCCGGGTCTGTCCCGCTCCCCTCCGGCCAATTCTCTCCCCCTGCTCCCCTCCCCTGGACAGCCCTGCTCCCCCAACCAGCCCTCCTTCCTGCCGGCCGGTTCCCTCCCCACCTCCTCCCAGCCAGCCCCCCACCATCTGAGATCAAGTGTGTCTGGTATTTGTTTTGAAGCCACCTGGTAACCCTGCAGGCAGCCCACTATGCTCATAGGAAGCTCACTCCTCTCTTGGTTAGAACTGGCCTCCTCATTTCCAGCAGGGATTCATTCGCTGCCATTTATCCCCATTTGGTCTGTATATTCGCTTTGGTAGCTTCTCCCCCTTCCCGGCTACATTTAGAGAGAGCAACTGCATCCCCGTTCCTCGGCCGTGGCTCTGCTAAGCCCTTTGATCGCCTGCTGGGAGTCAGCGTCTGCATTCTCCTGATCATCCCTGTAGCCCTGCCCCAGTCAGAATTCATTTTCTTGAATAAAAGTATCTACAGGCGTTAGGAGCAGAAACTCAGCCAGACGCGTGCTTAGACCCTTTCAAACATGTCACCGTTAGACCCCTAATTGGCATCATGGAATCGTAGAACATTAGGACTAGAACAGACCTTGAGTCCAGCCCCCTGCCTTCACGGCAGGACCAAGCACCATCTAGACCAGGCATGTCCAAAGTCCGGCCCGCGGGCCAATTGCGGCCCGTGTTCCGGTTTAATACGGCCCCACAGGTAATTTGGCAATATCTATTTTTTAAGGCCCCCAACGAATCCATATGTATTGAGATGAATACATTGTAAAATCTCAGTTAATGTCAGTTGGTCTAAATCAGTTATAAATATATTTGGACACAACATGTATACTTGGTGTTATGTTCCTGTTCATATTTTTTGAACTTAAAAGTTGACAGACAACCTTTATTACCAATAATATGTAATGTACTTTACAATGTTCCTGACATATATTTCAGCTTCCTGGATTTTTTTTTCATCTGGCCTTCAGATATGAAAGGCAGAGTGATTTAACACCTGTTTAGATTTGTCATCCATGTGACGAAATGAAAAGTATGCCGTTTGCAATAAACTTTGCATAAAATAGTTAATTTGCATTTAATTTTAATGGTTCAAAGAATGTCAGGCAAAATGGTCGGCCCTCACGCATGTTCACTTCATCAAATCTGGCCCTCTTTGAAAAAAGTTTGGACACCCCTGGTATATAGCATTCCTTTGTATCAGGGAAGATCTAGAATTCAGAATGACCTTAGAAAAATCAATTAGCTGAATGTGATGAGATAAAGAATTCTCACTTTCCTCTGTTTATAGCATGTTCCTCCTCTAGATAGTCTTGAATGGAAAAACAATGTGGAACAACTTGGTATTCACATGTTCTTAGAGCTTTACAAAAATCTTCAGCATTATTCAGCAATCAAGTATAGCCGCCAACAATATCTTAATACTAGACAGTTTGGTACTTGAATACTAAAGTGAGTAACAGACCATAGACTGTTTGCTTCTTTTTGCAAGTGTCACATGGTTAGCTCATGTTTAACGTGTTGTTAACTATGACCCCTAAATCACTTTTGGCAGTACTCCTTCCTAGACAGTCACTTCCCATTCCGTATGTTAACCTGATTGTTCCTTCCTAAGTGGAGCATGTTGCATTTGTCTTTATTAAACTTCATCCTATTGACCTCAAACCATTTCTCTAGTCTGTCCAGATCCTTTTGAATTTTGACCCTATGCTCCAAAGCACTTGCAATCTCTCCCAGCTTGGTATGAGCGGCAAACTTCATAATTCTCCTCTCTATGCCATCATCTAAATCACTCAGGTTTTGAAAATATCAACCTTAAGTTCTGGCTCATTTTCTTCAGACAATTCAGAGACCAGCCACAGGGATCGCACACCAAAAGATTCCAGAATCTCATCCCTTCTAGGACATGTTTTCCTGCAGCCAGGGAGCTGAAGCCTTGTAAATCAAAGGCCAGGAGGCCCATAATGCAGAGCTTCTAAAGCGGTAATTGGCTTTGCTGTTTTCACACCCCACCTTCCTCCCCTAAGGCATTCTTGGACTCCTGACCGTTCAGGCCAAACCAGTGGCAGGACTGTGGCTGGTCACATGTTTATGCAAATGAATGCCCATACATTGAAGGATTCTGTCAGCAAATTCCAACTCGACATTTTCCCATGACAGATTAAAACACTGCAAAATAGATCTATCTATGCACACATCTACATATATACACAGATATACAATGAGAGGGATAATGGTAAGTACAGTGAAAACCATGGGACCACTCGTCCCACCAGCACTGGACACAAATATGCAGCCGAATACAACCATAACAGAACTCCCCCGCCCAAAAAAAAAATCAGAAAAAAATTATTTCTAATCAAGCAAAACATTTAGCTTAAGCTGCCACCATTTTCTGTTTTCCATTTCATTCTCACGTGTTAAACTAAATCCAGCAACATGTCGCATGATTTTTCTGTTTTCCATTTCATTCTCAAGTGTTAAACTAAATCCAGCAACATGTCGCATGAAGCATCAGTTTGAAATGAAAAGTCAAAACATTTTGTTTTCAAAATGTCAAAAAAAACCTCCTACCATTTTGACTCATTGGTTTTGATTCGGCTGAAACCATTTGCAGAACGTGACCTGAATTTGCCACGCGTTGCCCCACGGTGCCCTTTCAGTGTGAACTATTTGACCAAAACCTTTTGCCAAGCTCTGTATAAATGTCCACAAAGTGCCAGCAAAAGCAAAGCCGGGGAGGAATGAGATTGTGACTGGCCCGTTTCTGTGCTCTGTACCCCTGTCTCACCCGCCCCACCTCCATCCCGGCATGAAAGCTGGTCTCCAGAGAGAGAGACAATGTTGGTGCTCGGTGCAAATGAATCTGGCACCGGAGAGCATTAAGGAGCTTGCATCAGGGATCAGAGTCCCTCCATGTCATCTTCCTCCTCCTCCTCCTCCTCCTCCTCTATTTCCTCCTCCTCCTCGTCTTCCTCCTCCACGTCCTGTGTGGCCGAGTCCCTGCCACTGGCTGGATGCTCCGGCCCCCGGACCGCCCGCGGGGGCGC